CCACACACACACACACACACACACACCACACACACCACACACACACACACACAAACCACACACACACACACACCACACACACACACACACACACACACACACACACACACTACCTACCTACCTACCTACCTTTAGCTTAGCTTCTTTGTCTACATAAAAACTTTTTTAAGTAAACTACCACCTATTCCATACATTTGTAACATTTACTACATTGCTTCCCTATCCACCCTATCATGTGCCTTTTTCTAAACTTGTAAATCCATTGAAAAGTTCCATTCCTTTAATGAAGTATTGTTCACTTAAGTGTTTCAATGTAAACACTTTGTCTATAAATCTCCTACCCTTTTTAAAATCTTGTTCACTTGCAGTTCAGCTCTCTATCTTACCTTTAATTCTTTCAATAATAACTCGATCATACACTTTACCTAGTATACACAACTGGCTTATTCTCATACAGTTTTTCCACTATTCTGTCCCCCTTTTCCATTATACAAAGGAACTGTGCATGGTCTCTGCAAATCCCTAGGTACCTTCCTACCTTTCATGCATATATTGAACAAATGCACTAACCACTATTTTCCACTTGCATTTAACATTTCTGTCCTAATCCCATCTACCCCAGCTGCTTTACCTCCTTTCATTTTATACAATGCCACACACACCTCTTCCACGCTCACTTAGATCTGGCTGTTCCTCACTCCTGAAAGGATTTTATACCTCCCTTCCCATTGCAAGAAATCATTGCCTTCCTCTTTTTATCAACATTCAACAGTTCCTCAAAGTCCCTTTATCTTCCCAGTATCTCCATCTTCCTATCTAATAGGAAGATGGAGGTACTCTTTGGTATTTAACTGTTAAATTCATTTGTTCTCAAGGCTTTCTCAGCTGATTGATATCCCCAAAACTTTTTCTTTTTCCCAGCAAAAGTTTATTGATAAATCCTAGTTGAATTACTAAAAAAATACTGAAAAGAAACATACTGGGAGTATGTCATATTGTTGATTCAACTTTGTTAGACTCATAATAATAATATAATAATAATAATTTTTATCATGACTCATTGTACAGAGTGTTATGCAGAATGTGGGAGCTCCTGGGGTTTAACGCCTTGTCTAGGAGCAAAGATAAAAATTACACAGATCTCATGTAAAAGTGAGCAACCCTGGGCTACCCTAATCAAAACAGAGACCACTAAACCAGCAGTCACTACTTCAGTGGGCTTGGTTATTAGAGGGTTCTGGCAGAATTCCTCATTAGGAAAATATATTTATTATGTCTAACAATATATACACACACTAGATAAACACACCCACATTTCCCGTAGCACAAACACCCAAATAAAGATACATCAGGAGCCGGCAGGCTGCGTTGTCAAAGCAAACCTAAACGCACATGTGAGTATGGGGTTTGGTGCCCATCGGATACTATGCCTTCCCCTACGCTCCCACCAACACCATTTCATCCACATTCACCAGCCCTCACTCATTCCACAGAGCCCTGCCCACATCAGAGCCCAAGAGAGCCTACTGGTAAGCACTAAAATAGTATGACTTGAGTAGGATACACGAAAAGAGTTGAAAACTTAGCTTCAATACTCTGTGTCTGGCCAGCATGTTTGACACTCATGCCACTCCCATGTGACTGCCCCACGCTCGTGACCACCCATGCTCACACTGACACTACCCCCACACACTTGGAAAATAAATCACGACAGGACTTTCTTACATTTTACAGTTTAAGCTACTTCACAGTATCCACAAATGTAGAGGGTGGTAGTGATAAAATTATGGTTTACAATTATAACATTGTTTATAAAATTATGGCACACTTCTCTGCTATACATATTACAAAGCAATGCAGAAGCCTGCATAACAGAGAGCGTAGTTTGATAAATGGATTTATTTTAAGGTTTGGTATTATTCATAGTTGCATTAGAATTTCAACTGAAAATCTATCACAAAACTTTTGCTCTAGGCTTGGCGCTGAGTGCTGATGATAGTCATGGTTGGGAAGCAACCCTAGAACTACCTAGAGGCTTACAGGAACTTATCCGTCATGTCCACAACACCAAGTGGCTACTGATTAGGAGGCGGCAAGAACTAACCCGGTCATACAAGGAGGTGTGTGCCCCAGTGATGGAAAGGTGCAGGTGAGTAAGAATATGTGAATTGTTAGACCAGTTAAGAAGAATGGAAACCTATCTAATTACTGTTGGCAAGAATTGAAGAACATTATCTTATGATGATGCACTACAGTACAGCCTCTCCTCACTTAATGACGGAGTTCCGTTCCTTAGACCACATTGTTAAATGAATTCGTCGCTAAGTGAGGAGCATACTATAATTGTAGTGAGTTGGTGTCAGCCATCTTTGATATTGTTTTAATATCACCTTTGCACCATTTATAACAATTCTGGTATATTTTTAAGTGTATACAGTAGTGTACTGTATATTGAAATAAACAGAATAAAGGAAATCAGCTCTAGTATACATTATTTAGGTATGAATACTGGTCAGAGAGCCCATCGTAAATCTGAGGCTTCAGTAAACGAGTACGTCACTAAGTGACGAGAAGCTGTATTTTGGTTTCCTATTTGAGTTTGCAAAGTAATCTCTTAATTCTTGGACTTGCCTCTTTATACAGTACTGTACCTGCCTATGTACTGTGTATGTCAGCAATCTTAACAGTGTTCACTAAAGTAAGGTAGGATCTATTATATTTAAAATTTATTTAATTTTATTTATTTATTTATTTATTAATTTGAACATGATACAGAGAAGTACAAGGAATACAATTTTTAAAGTGAAGCTTGCCAAAGCCCCTTGTATGCAGAGCATTATGGGCAGGCTTAAAATTAACTTAAGATTAACTTAGCAATGATATATTCAGTGGTACAAAAATTATTGTAAAACAGATAACAATTTAGTACAAATGAGTATTACAAAAACAGGTCATGTGGTCATTTACTGTGTTGCTGTGTAATCAGTAGAATGGAGGTGTGTTAGGTAATGAAGTTAAATAGTAACAAAGTTTGATTGGGTCACAGGTTGACATTTATGAGATATAATAATGAGATACATCCAGCTGACAGAAAAATTCACTGGCACTGACACTAACACTTTTATTTCTTTGCAAAGGTTACAGTGTGTAATTACAATTTTGATTTGTTAAGTACAAAGAAAACCACTTACATGCTGGGGCATTATGGGCAAACTAATCCTGGTACATAATAACTACTTAAGTCTAGACAAAATAAGAATGGTTAACTTTTTAATAAATCTTTATTTTATCCTAATACTAATGCTAGGTAGTCAGGGTGGAGGTTTATAAGAATAATAATCTTGAAGTTGCACATAATAAAAACAATATTACAATTAATGGTTCAGACACTAATATTTTGTAGATTGGTATATGTTTTAATAAACTAGAGCTCATATACCATAATATTTGGGAGAGTTGCTTCTAACTGGTTAGAAGTTGTTTTAGTTGGTTTGGTTAGTATTGAGAGATGAGATGATTTTTAAGCATAGCCCTAAATTTATATCTAGTCAGGGGATCCTTTACCGGTTCAGGGAGTGAATTCCAGATCTTCAGGCCCTTTATGTGCATTGCATTTTTGAATAGTGTGAGACTGACACGAGGGATGTAGAAGAGTGCCTTGTGCCTTGTACTGTGACTGTGTGTTCTGTTGTAACGTTCAAGGAGAAATTTAAGCAGAGGGTTTATATTGGAGATTAAGGTTCTGTATATATAGTAGGCACAATAATGTGAGTGTATGTCTCGTGTATTTAGTAGGTTCAGGTTTTTGAAAAGTGGTGGGGTGTGCTGTCTGGCACAGGAGTTAGTAATTATCTACACAGCAGTTTTTGTTGAGTTATTAAAGGTTTAAGGTGGTTAGCTGTGGTTGATCCCCAGGCAGCACTTTTTTCCTTACAACACAGCGATGAATGACCCACATATGTTAAGTGTTTCATTTTTTTTTTTAATAAAAATTTTTCTTGTGTTATGTTGATCAAGAAAATAGCCTTCATCCATGGTTTGCATCTCTCAGCTTCATCAGACTTTTGTTTACAAGCCACTAGTTTAGTCAGGCATCACATTTTTCAGGTAATCTTATTTGTATTTTAGTTATTTCTGCTTACATTGTGCCTTAATTACACACTAACGTTTGATCTGAATCATTAGACATAGATCTGTGAGTGATGCTGGCATCAGCAAAGTAGATTTATGCGAGTGACACTGGTTTCAGCAACATAGATCTGTGTGCGTGACACTGGCATCAGTAACGTAGATCTATGTGAGTGATACTGGCATCAGTAACGTAGATCTATGAGAGTGACACTGGCATCAGTAACGTAGATCTATGCAAGTGATACTGGCATCAGTAATGTAGATCTATGTGAGTGACACTGGCATCAGTAACATAGAACAACTTGAGTGACACTGGCATCAGTATCATAGATCAATGTGAGAGAGACTGGCATCAGTAACATAGATCGGTGTAGGAGATACTGGCATCAGTAACATTGATCAATGTGGGAGACACTGGCATCAATAACAGATCAGTGTGGGAGAGACTGGCATCAATAACATAGATAAGTGTAGGAGACACTGGCATCAATAACATATCAGTGTGGGAAACACTGGCATCAATAGCATAGATAAGTGTGGGAGACACTGGCATCAGTAACATAAGTCAACATAGGAAACACTGGCATCGATAACATAAGTCAACGTGGGAGACACTGGCATCAATAACATAACAAAGTGGGAGACAGTGAAAGGGTTAAATCTTCACAGAATGCCCAGTTCATTGTGACATTTGCTTTTTACTGTTGAAATCCCCAATTAGTGTGACTTTTTCCCTCTCCTTTTTTGTCATCTTCTTTTAACAGTTCTTTTGTTCATTATCTTGTCACTAATTTAACCTGCCCAGTTCCCTCTCCTATTTGTTTTTAATGATGAATTCCATTCAGTTGTTATAAGTTTTTCATATTTATTATGGACCTCTTTAGCTAGAATTTTGATGTTATGTATTAGGGTTTTTTATTTTACTTTCTGCAGCTTCTGGTGATAGTGTTTCTTTGACAATATGGCAAATTATCCCTCATTATTTCCTACACTGTTTCTTCTCCACACATTAGTTTACCTTCAAATACTGCCTTATTAATGGTTTTCCTGTTCAATTTTAGTTTTACCCTCTGCTAATTTTTTGTATATAAAATCCTTAGCTCTAGATTTTTTTCAGCATGTATATTCTGGAAGTTGACACAGTTACTTTTTGCTGAAGATACTGTGCTTTTGGGAGGTTCTAAAGAAAAGTTGCAAAGGTTAGTGGATGGGTTTGGGAGTGTGTGAACATAGATAAGAGTAAGGTGATGAGGGTATCAAATGATTTAGATAAAGAAAAATTGGATATCACATTGGAGGGAGGGAGTATGGAAGAAGTGAATATTTTCAGATATTTGGGAGTTGACTTGTCAGCGGATGAGTTTATTAAGGATGAGATTAACCATTGAATTGATGAAGGAAAAAAGGTGTGTGGTGCATTGAGGTATCTGTGGAGACAAAAAACATTATCCATGGAGGCAAAGAAGGGAATGTATGAGAGTATAGTGGTACCAACACTCTTATGCAGGTATGAAGCATGGATTGTAAATGCTGCAGTGAGGATGAGGCTAAAGGCAGTGGAGATGTCGTGTCTAAGGGTAATGTGTAGTGTAAATATTATGCAGAGAATTCGTAGTGTGGAAATTAGGAGGTGTGGAGTTATTAAAAGTATTAATCAGAGGGCTGAAGAGGGGTTGTTGAGGTGCTTTGGTCATTTAAAGAGGATGGAACAAAGTAGAATGACTTGGAGAGCACACAAATCTGTAGTGGAAGGAAGGTAGGGTAGGGGTCGTCCTAGGAAAGGTTAGAGGGAGGGGGTAAAGGAGGTTTTTGGGTGAGGGGCTTGGACCTCCAGCAAGCGTGCATGAGCATGTTGGTTAGGAGTGAATAGAGACAAGTGGTTTTGGAAACCTGACAAGCTGTTGGAGTGTGAGCAGGGTAATATTTTGTGAAGGGATTCATGGGAAACTGGTTAGCTGGACTTGAGTCCTGGAAATGGGAAGCACAATGCCTGCAGCACTTTAAAGGAGGGGTTTGGGATATTGGCATTTTTGAGGAACATCTAAACTGTCTTCTCTGAGTGCCTCTGCAAAGACAGTGATTATGTATGAGTGATGGCAGAAGTGTTGAATGATGATGAAAGTTATTTGTTTCTTTTTGGGTTTTTCTTTCTTTTTAGGTCACCCTACCTTGGTGGGCATTGGCCAACATGTTAAAAAAAAAAAAAAAAAATCTGTGCTGGGTATACCTACATTCTACATTTTCTCTCTATGTATATATTTTCATTTGTCATCTTAGGTTTGTTTTTTATGAAGTGCGCCCTGCTAGCTGTGGAGACGTAGAGGCTTTGGATAAGTTTGCCGTACGCGGTGTGTCAAGATGGAGGAAAGCCACTCAGTTACTCCGTCTCCGCTCAAATGATACTACGGCTACGAGCCAGGAAAAGGATGAACCCCAGGTGAATTAAGCAGTAAAAATAATTTTTATTTATACACAGCCTCTCTTAGATATGGGGTAGCCTAACATGTTATGTGTTATAATAAATTAAGTAAAGACATAATGTGTGTGCGCATAGGTGCATTCACCTATTTGTGGTTGTAAGGGATCTATTGTGAGAGAGAGAGAGAGAGTATGAGAGTACATATACGTGTGAGTGAGAGAGAAAACGTGACCATAAAGAGTGTGAGAGTGTGTGTGAGATAGAATGGGAGTGATTTTTTTTTTTATCATACCACACACTCAAAAATTTTACTTTCTGGGTAAGCTACAGTTAAGGTGTTATTTACATTAAAAATTGTTTCAGGAAAATACATTAACCCTTTCATGGTCTGTGCCATAGATCTATGGCTTTACGTTGAGGGTCCAAACCGTAGATCTATGCCATGAGCTCAGCTCACTCTGATAAGCTGTGAGCGGTAAATTGGGGCCTAGATATGAGAGAATACGTCTGTCTGGTATGTGTGCATCACATAAAACAAATCCTGCAGCACACAGTGCATAATGAGAAAAAAAAATTGAGACCATAATTTTTGATTAAAACAGCAATTTTGCAGTGTTTTTTCGTATGTTTTTTATAGTTGTATTTGCAATTTCTTGGTCTCATTTGATAGAATGGAAGATATATTACAGAAATAGAGATGATTTTGATAGGTTTTAGTAGTGAAAATGGCTTGAAACTGAGCTCAAAGTAGCGGAAATGTTAAATTTTTGCCGATGTTCAAGCGTAAACAAATGACCTCACACATCTAATACACACCAGCTGGTGGGTCTAATATACATTCACAGATGTGCTGATATTATTTATACAATTATTACAATATTGCATGACAGTAAATCTTCTATTTTTTGGTTTGAATAAAAATTCATTATGTGAATTAAAAATCAAAATGGAATTCATTTGTAAAGCCTGAAAATGTAACTAATAACAGAGGAAATGATAGTTTAGTGCCAGGAATGCCCGCATTGTTTATTCTGGACCCTATTTTGAAATTGGAATATTTTGAACTTTGCACTAAATTGGCTAAATTACTAATTTCCAATCAGTTTATTTGTAGTTGAAACAGTTGAGTTGGCGATTTCTTGTGCTCAGTCAATAGAATAGAAGTAATACTAGTGAAATAGCTAAGAATTTGGCCTACTGGAATAAGGTAATTGGCCTAAAATGGGAGTCAAAGTTGGCAAAATCGCCGATGCGTAAATATCGCTGACACATCAAAATTTGTGAGAGTGCAATTTCGTCAATTTTCCATCAAATTTCGTATTTTTGTTTTATTACCTTCAGAAAAAGATTCTCTACCATTTCATAAGAAAAAGTAACAAAATTATTTTTTGAAAATACTTGGTTAGTAGTAGGCTGGTAGACAGCAACCACCCAGGGAGGTACTATCGTCCTGCCAAGTGAGTGTGAAACGAAAGCCTGTAATTGTTTTACATGATGGTAGGATTGCTGGTGTTTTTTGTCTGTCTCATAAATGTGCAAGATTACGGGTACGTCTTGCTACTTCTACTTACACTTAGGTCACACTACACATATATGTACATGTTTATTTATGCACACTCATCTGAGTTTTCTTTGATTTTATTCTTCATAGTTCTTGGTCTTATTACTTTTCCTTTTATATCCATGGGGAAGTGGAATAAGAATCTTTCCTCTGTAAGCCATGCGTGTTGTAAAAGTCAGCTAAAATGCCGGGAACAATAGGCTAGTAACCCCTTTTCCTGCAATAAATTACTGAAAAGAATAAGAAGAGGAAAATTGTCAAAGTGGGAAGTCTGAATGTGCGTGGATGTTGTGCAAATGATAAGAAAGAGATGATTGTGGATGTTATGAATGAGAAGAAGCTGGATGTCCTGGCTTTAAGTGAAACAAAGCTGAAGGGGGTGGGAGAGTTTCAGTGGAGAGGAATAACTGGGATTAGGTCAGGGGTTTCAAATAGAGTTAGAGCTAAAGAAGGAGTAGCAATAATGTTGAAGGATAAGTTATGGCAGGAAAAGAGGGACTACAAATGTATTAATTCAAGGATTATGTGGAGTAAAATAAAGGTTGGATGTGAAAAGTGGGTTATAGTAAGCATATATGCACCTGGAGAAGAGAGAAGTGTAGAGGAGAGAGAGAGAGAGTGAGAGAGATTTTGGGAAATGTTGATTGAATGCATGGGAAGTTTTGAACCAAGTGTGAGAGTAATGGTGGTTGGGGATTTCAATGCTAAAGTGGGCAAAAATATTGTGGAGGGAGTAGTAGGTAAATTTGGGGTGCCAGTGGTAAATGAAAATTGGGAGCCTTTAATTCAGCTATGTGTAGAAATAGGTTTGGTAATAAGTAATACAGTAGGGCCCCGCTTTACGGCGTTTTACCTTACGGCGTTCCGTTAATACGGCGATGTCAAATTATGACCAAAATTTACTATACGGCAAGTGGTCTTTCAAATACGGTGCGCCCCACCTGGTTTGTTGACATTCTCCATGACCACATCTATTATGTCTGGAAACTTTCCAAAATTTCAAGTGTTTTAAAGTTATTGCATATTATATATGTATTCTAATAATTATACTTATGTGTACCTGTACCTAAATATACTTACACACTATGCTGGTGTGCAGGTACACATTAAAATCACTAAGAATCTCTCTACTCATGACGCCACAGTAACACTACATAATAATAATCACTCTTGGGCACAATAAATGTGTTATTTTACATTAAAATAGACATTTTCAGTAGTCCATCTATGATATTTTCTTCAAAATTATACAAGAAACACGTTACATAGCATATAAACATGTTACATACACTCACAGAATAAAAATTGACGTAAATATGAGATTTGTTTACAAAGCGGCTGTGTATAGTGTCGGAAGAATTACATTTTCTCTAGTCAAACTGGGGGGATAACTGTAGAAAAATATTCCTTTCGTATGCCTTCACTCTATATATAGCAATTCACGACCCTTGTGGGTTCAGCGCTTCTTTTTTTATTATAACAATAATAATAATGATAATAATATCATAATTCACTCAAAAAATGATGTGTTGCATGAGAATGGGAATGTTGCTGTTTGTTTATTCTGTACTAACTTGTACAACTTGTACACGATATAAGAGTATTTGTATTGTGAGATAATTATTATTATAATAAAAAAATATTGTGAGGTAAAAGTTTTACAAACTCTTACAAACGTACATGAATGAACTGAAATAGACACATATTAATACGCATTTATTTCGCCTGACCAAGTGATCGCCCACTACCTGTTCAGTTTGTGTTCTTGCATTGTCTGAACTGTGTATCTCGTTTTCTCTCTCGTTTACTCTTTTGTTAATTAGTTGGCTCTCATTGACAATGGCATCTAAGCTTAGGTGTGATAAAAAGAGGAGTCGTAAGCCTCGTGCTTTAAGTGCCAAGTTAGAAATGATTAAACTGAGTGAACATGGTATGTCTATGACTGAGATAGCACGTAAGCTTGGTTTGGCTCGTCAAACAGTTAGTACAGTTGTGAAAAATAAGGAGAAAGTGTTGCGGGAAATTAAAAGTGCTACACCAGTGAACACTAAAGTTATAAGAAAATGTGATAACCTTATTGCTGACATGGAAAAACTTTTAATGGTGTGGATTGATGATCAGACTAGTCACAATGTGCCTTTAAGCCAAGCCATTATCCAGTCCAAGGCCCTAAGTCTCTTCAATTCAATGAAGGCTGAGAGAGGTGAGGAAGCTGCTGAAGATAAATTCGCAGCTAGCAAAGGCTGGTTTAATAGGTTTAAGGAAAGAGGTCAACTTCACAACATCTGAGTGCAGGGTGAAGCTGCAAGCGCCGACAATTTAGCTGCAGAAAATTATCCACGTGAGCTAGCCGAGATAATAGAATGTGATGGATATACCAAGCAACAGATTTTTAATGTGGATGAAATTGCATTATTTTGGAAGAAGATGCCATCTAGGACATTTATTGGTAAAGAAGAGAAGTCAATGCCTGGCTTCAAAGCTGCAAAAGACAGGTTAACACTCTTGCTAGGAGCTAATGCAGCTGGTAATTGCAAGTTAAAACCTATGATGATTTATCACTCGGAGAATCCTAGGGCCCTAATGAACTATGCAAAAGGCAACCTCCCTGTTTATTATAAATCCAATTCAAAAGCTTGGATGACTGCCGATCTTTTCATAAATTGGTTCATGGACTGTTTTAAGCCTATAGTTGAGGCTTACTGCAAGGAAAAGAAAATTCCTTTTAATGTTTTACTTGTTTTAGACAATGCCCCTGCCCACCCTACAGCTCTACATGGTATGTACAAGGAGATAAATGTTGCTTTTATACCTGCAAACACAACTTCATTACTGCAGCCGATGGACCAAGGTGTAATTGCAGCCTTTAAATCTTATTACTTAAGAATACTTTCATTAAGGCTGTAAATTTCCTAGACAATGAAAAAATGCCAGGGCCTGAACAAAATAAATTAAAAACCTTTTGGAAAGGTTTCACTATTTTGGATGGTATTAAAAATATTAGAGATGCAAGGAATGAAGTTAAAGAAACTACACTCAAAGGTGTTTGGAAAAATCTAATTCCTGAACTTATGGACGATTTTGAAGGCTTTGAGAATCCAGTGGATGAAGTGACTGTAAATGTTGTGGATATGGCAAGGGACTTAGAATTGGAAGTGGAGCCTGAGGATGTGAAAGAATTGTTTCTTTCTCATGATGAGCCTCTAACAGATGAAGATCTTCTCATTGAAGAGCAAAGAAAGAAGTTTCATGAAGAGGAGATCCATCCTGATGATAGTGCTGTTGCCATTAAAGAAATGAAAACCCAGGATTTGGAAGAAGCTATTAACTATATAGAAATAGCAATGACAATTTTTGAGAAAATTGATTCAAATTTTGAACGAAGTTCAAAAGTGAACGCATCCCTTTCCCATGATGTTACATGCTGTAAAGAAATTTTAAGGGAAAGGAAAAAAAA